TTTAACCAAGATATAGCTAAAGTTCCCCCTACCAGGAATACTTTCTGGAACTTCGTGAATTAATTTTGTCTTGGGCATTTCTTCAATTTAGCAAAATATTTTTCTAGTATTTTTATGCTTGTTTTCTCTTTTATCATCTGTTCTGGAAATTTTATTACATTTTTTTTAAATGTTCTTTAAAAAATAAGGATTCTGTGTCTCTTCTCTTTTCATTGCATGAGCTGCTTTTTCCTTTTGAATTTTGGAAGCACTCTTCTAACCCATCTTTTAATGCATTAATTCCAGTTTGAGTTGTGCCAAATCTGTGATTTCCTGCCTCCGTTGAGTTTCATTAGTTTGGAAGTCATGTGTTTCTTATCCAAGAGCTTTTTCTTGTTTAATGTGGCTCTTTTTCATGGCAACAAGCTCCTGTTATATTAAAACAATGTTCTCTCGGTTCTCTCTAAGAATACAAAGTAGAACGAAAAAAATATATTTCCTTTACTTCCTGTAGAATTCTGTGGCTGAAGGCCATCTTTTCTTTTACCCAGGTTAGTCCCCCTATTTTATGCAGGGAATGCCCTGTAACAAAACATAGGTATATATACATGCATGTACACATGTAAGTGTTCATATATGTGTATATATACATATATTAAATAAATCTCCATTCATACATAGGGATATATATTTTAAATTTTCATTCATGATTCATTTTTAATTTTAAAATTAAATTTACTTTTAAGTGGTACAGCAAAACATAAAAATTGTATGCTTAATGGGAAAACACATGGTATTTTATATACATTGTATATAAAAACAAGTCTTTGAACTAAAAACACGTGGGTTTAAATCCAGTTCTGGTAATTGAATGACAATTCACCTAAATTGTCTGAGCTTTTGATTTGTGAGATGGGCACAATAAAAGTCTCATCCAAGAGTTTAAGGATTAAGTAAGTTAATGTCTGTCAAGGGACTTAGAGTAGTTCTTGGCTAAATGGTTTTTTATTACCACATCTGTCATCATCATTACTGTTATACTGAACCATTGAATGTTTTCTTGTTCTCATACACAGTCTGGTTACTCCCGATCTGGAGGCTGAGATAGCAAGAGAGGTAGAGGTCATTGCCAGAGATGGCACAGGTCTCCACTTAATTTCCCCCTCAGGGTTACCACACACAGAAAAATTTCCTTGGCCAGTCCTCCCCTCACTCAAAAACGACCTGCACCCTTATTTGTCAAGACTGGCAGTGCAATTCTCTCATCTCCACAAGTGACACAAAGTTTCTCTATTATTTGAGGAAACATTGCAAATTAAAACTGCAGAAAGAAATGAGCCCAAACTACTGGTTTTGATTTTCATCCTGGCCAAAAAGTTGAATGTAAAGTTTACTACATATAAAAAAATGAACAAATAAACATGGTGAGTAAAAAAGATAGCTAAATATTGCTAATCTTTGGGGATAAAGGACAGTTTCAAAGCATTACACCAAAGACATAAAATATAGAGAAAAGATGAATAGATTTGGTTACCTTAAAATAATACAATTCCTGGAAGATAAAAATGAACATTACAGGTTTTAAAATGGAAAGGCCAATGCAGAGAAAGCATGTACCGCAACTTGCACTAACACTTCTATAATTAATGTAACTAAAGAGCTTTTCAAAGTCAATAAGAAAATGTAGACCCTCACAACAAAAGAATGGGCTAAGGACACAAAGAAGTAAATAACCAGAGAAAAAGTACTAATGGTCATGAAACATAGAGGAATGTTAATGTGAAAAAACAACAGATGTACATTAAAGCATCACTATACTGCATTTCCCATCTATTTAGCCAGCAAGACTAAGAAACAGCTAATCTCCCTGTAGGTCAGAGTGTGGGTACAACGGCACACTTAAATTTTGCCAAGTGTCTCCATATTTTATCTAGACAACAACTTAGAAGTAGAAACCAAAAGCTCAGAAGCATGCACTAAGGTTGGAATTCTGACTCTTTCATTGGGATTTTAAGTAAATAAATACATTTTCAAAGCTTTAACCACTAACACACTGATCACAGAGATATTTAGGCTAACAGAAGACAAAAAAAGAGCACATTGACCTAACAAGAGTGTGATTCTAGTTTTGAAATGTATTAATCAATTCTGTGTTATCTTGCTTAGTATGAATATGAATAATTTTCAGTCTTTAAAACTTACTTGAAGTTTCCAGATTTTTCCCTGGTATTATTAAAATGTATGCACATTTTTATCTAAATATATACACTTGTGCTGTAAGATTTTATTAATACTTTATTAATAATTTTACATCTGTTCTTGTGATAATGGTGTGTATGTGTGTGTGTGTGTGTGTGTGTGTGTATTTATGTGTGTGTATTTATGTGCTGTCTTTATTGGTTTTACTAACAGAGTTAGGGCAACTTCACGAGTTAGGATGCTCTCCTTAATTTATGTACTTTGGAATACTTTAAACAGTAGATAATTTTCAATTCCTTGAAGCTTTGACCAGAATTCCCCATAAAATCTTTGGAAGCTGGGGGTGGTGATCCACGTCTGTAGTCACTTGGGAGCTAAGGAAGGAGGATAACCAGGAGCTCAAGTCTGGACTGGCCTACATGGAGCCACCCTATCTCAAAACAAACAAATAAACAAACAAACAACCTGAGCCTGACAACTTTTTTGGATGAGCTGACTACTATTTCTTGAACTTTGCTTACCTTTACCAAGAACTTTTTCAAGGTTCTTCAGTGTTTTTGGTCTACTTAAATTTGCTACTTATTTTTGAAAACACCTGTACCAATTTACATCTCCCAAAGAATAAAGAACTTACTTCAAAATAAGTAAACATAAAACAGAAAATATCCTTTTTTTTACATTGATGTTTAAATCCTTTTGCTCATTTCTGACATTTTGTGTTTCAGTTTATTATCCCCTTTCTTTAGCCGTGTTAACTTTTTCCTTTTAAAAATAGCCAGTTATCTTTCTGCTTTCAACCTGAGTGCTGGAATTACAGGCACATGCCACTATGCTTTGCTAATAAAATTTCTGTACTCAGAAGTGGCATAAATCATTTCTGTGTATAGTGAACAAATAAAATCTCATGACCAATTTTGACCTCAGTGAGAAGGTGCATTATGACCCCTTTCTGTTGAGAAAGGCATTAAAACATATGGACAGTGATACAATCTACACATGCATCATGTAGTTCCCTTCTTTTTCTCTCCCTTCCATCTTCCCCATCAGCATTTCCAACATCACACAGCCTGTTGATCCTTTGGATTAATCAGGGCAACATCTCCCTCCTGATCTGTATTAAAGCTCCGAAGCCCATATACTTGCAACTCAAAGTCTTCTTTAAAAAACTCTATTCTCCAACATATGTTTCTGAATTCTGGTTAAAAGATCAAAAGAGGAGATTTAACATCTCTTTTTCTGTACTCTCCTTGCTTCCCTGGGGCAAGACTCAGAAATATACTAGTAACTGTGAAACCTATAAATTGTGACTAAACAACTATATTTTAAGTTTTCTTAATTTGAATTTCAACAGCCACATGTGGTTACAGCCTTCTTGTCATGGATAATGTGAGCCTAAATATTGTCATAGTATTGCTAAAAGCCAAATAGGGTACTTAGTACCCCATGCAGATAAAAGTCAAGTGGTGCCATGGGTTTTGAAATTTTAAAATGAAAACGATTTTGATTTGCATAAATCTTATATTGATATTATAGGCATATACAGTGAGTTAAAAGAAAATAATGCCTTCACTTGTTAATTGGCTGGAGCTGCCTGACCTAATAAGCAGAGGCTAAATTCACAATTAATTAAGAATTTCATGTTCATTCAGCCAAAACATGCCTCAAACCATCTTTTGTTCATCTGGCCAGCAGGATACTCAGAGCCATATTTAGGACATCTTGCGACTATAGTCAACATATGCAAAATATCTTACTTGAAAAAGTTCTTTCATTTATCCGAATAGGGAGTCTGGTATAGAATAAGATCTTTTGCTATTAGGCTAATTATCATATTTGTTGTAAATAAATAGGACATCCTGTAGTACACGGTAAAGTATATGTGATTCGATTATTGGCAATTTAACAGTTTTCTGTCTTTGTTGTCCATCAGGCAGCATTATTTCTCCCTTTGAAAAGAGGAAATGGGAGCTTAGAGAGGTTAAGCGGTTTTCCTATGGTTATATAACAGGTATGTGGCATTCTAGTACAGGAAATGGTATCTATCTGATCCAAAGCCCCAACTATCCTACCATTCTGCTCTTATTTCATATATGTGACATCTCACTGCAATCACCTACTTCTTCCTACAGAGAGCCCTGGAGAAACCCCTGTCAAGGAGGCAACTAATGACAAAATGGTGGAATGTAGGAAGCTGGGGCTGCCACAGCTGATGCTCTTGGTCTTCTGGTGGTAGGAAGGAAATGGGCACCGCTGAGACTGGAGTCTAAGTCACCCAACAAAGCTGCCCCAGTTAGCATGGGCTGCCAGACACCATGCTGCTATGGTTCTATTCTTTTATGTTGACCTCTGTTTACCTACCAAGTTCGGTGAAAATTAAGAATGACACACCTAGGATGCACGCTCTCCCTGGTTTCAAATCTGCTGTCAGTTCCCTGTGCCTGCCCCAAGCCTCACATTGCACCTCAGTACGAATCAGGCGACTTTACACAATTAAGTGAGCCTCCAGCATATATCTTCCTGTTGTGAATTCAGGACAGTTGTGGCCCACATTCCGCTTAAATACAATAGGTGACAAGATGCTCACTCGCCTTATCTGCAGTTGCATTCTTGGTTCCATTTTGTCATTTTCCAGAACAGTACATTTTCCTTTACTAGAATAATGCTGAAGTGCAAAGCCAGGGGCGATGACGCTGCCTTCTCTCAGCCCCGCAGGCCACTGTCCTTGCAAACTTTGGATAGAGGGAAAGTGGGCATGGAGAAGGGAACTACAAGTCCCAGCATGCACGGCGCTCTCCGCACAGGCGCACGGGGACCCCCGGCCAGCCGGCCAGCCAGCCTGCGGAGACTCCCCGGTCCGCGCTCAGGGCTGGGGCTGGGGCTGCACCCTGAGGGGACCGGGCCGGACCCTAGACGGCCCGGGCGTTGCTATGAGGGCTGTGTAGCGCGTGTGAGGAGGATGAAGGAGGAGGCAGCGCGGCCGCAGGAGGAGTAGGCGGTGGTGCCCTCGGCGGGGAGCCGCGCGCGGGCCAGACGGCTCCCGGAGGCTCCGCAGTGCCGCCGCCGTCGCCCCGGAGGCTCCGCGCGGGAGCCATGTAACCCGCGGCGGGCTCCGGGCTGCTCCGTCCTTCCTAGCTCCCGGGCTAGCGCGGCAGCGGGGCCACGATGAAGAAGCAGTTCAACCGCATGCGCCAGCTGGCCAACCAGACGGTGGGCAGGTAGGTCACCGCCGGCGGCCGGGCCGGTGCGCGCCTGCGGGGCTGCGTCCTCCGGGGCGCGCAGGTGCTGCGACGCCCGGTCTCCCTGCCCCGCTCGCCGTCCCCTCCCCTGCGCCGGCCGCATCTGGGCTCCACTCGCTAGCGCGACCCTGTCTTTCTGAAGTTCCGGGACCCCGGAGCTCTTTTTGCACGCTGCCTGCTGGCCCGGGGCGCTGGTTGCCAGGCGCAGTGTGTGACGCATCCTTTACCTGCGTCCCCAGCCGCCCCTTCACCTCGTCCTCCCTGCCTTTTCCCTGGACTCCTTGTTCCCTCTGGCCGTGTGTCTTCCTGGAAACAGGTGTTTGCTCTGATTGTGCTGCAGGCAGCCGAGCGAGCCGCAGTCGGTCTCCGGAGATCGCTCCCTTACCCGCCCCTGCGCCGAGTTCAGGGCTGCTTCGGAGTCCAGGGGAAGTGTTGGGCCTGCTCGGTCTGCCCCTCCCGCTGTGTTTGTTTTCAGGGACTATGACTGTACGAGATTCTGGATCACTTTCTTGGCCGGGTTCCTCCAAGCCTTTGGTGTTGAGGCGAGGATGGCGGGGTGGGGGTGGGGGAGTAGTGGGGAGAGTAGAAGGGAAAGGAAGGTGCTGATGGCATGGCGCTGTCTTAGGCTGATTTCAGTGGAGAGAGGGAGGCTGCAGAAAAGGAGGTCCAACTCCTTTGGAAGATGAGCTAAGCAGAGGATTGCAGCCAGGTATGGGAGGGGAAGAGAGATGCTACCGCCTAGAGCAGCCAGGCCCTAGGAAGCTGGATGACCCAGCCTGCCCTCATCACTGTGAAAATGGACTACATTTGGGCCAGAGTTTCCAGGAGTGGCTATGTGGAGTGCCAGTATCTGTTAAGGTTACATAAGGATTCTGGTGGGTCTTTTCCACGGCTAGATATTCTCTGAACACAGAGAATGTTTTTAGATAGAGGGGATTTTTCCCAGCTTCTGCCCCAGGGGAATGATTTCCTGTCCCTGCTGTGGCAAAGGAATTCAGGTGTACAGTTCTAAACCAGCGCTAAAGCAAGGAGCCTGGCCCTGAGTGCTATTCAAGTACAAGCTCAACACATTGAGTCGTCTCAAGTGTTCTCCACTAGGCTTATCAAGAAACCAAATACCTTTCTTGGGTGGGGAGTGGAGCTTGGACAGTCACCTGGTAGGGTGGGGGTGGGACTTCGGCGGAGTAGGTGCTCCGTCTAAACTCCCATCTAAACACACTACCCCAGTTACAGTGGGCATTTGAGGGCAGGGGATGCGGTGGCTTCTTATGCTTCCAGGCACCCCAGATGGTTTCCAAGTAACAATGTCTAAAATTGACTTGGATTCGTTTTTCCTTCCCAGACACATGTGCTTTAACATGAGGGGGAATTTATGAATAGCAGAGTCAGATTAGCCCAGATTTCTGGCATGTTATTGCCATAAATACAGCCTCACGTGGCCTGCTTTTGGTATGTAGGGTGCTGAGATAGTGTTTTCATGGTATTGGTTGTTTAGCGGTTGACAGGCTGACCTGTCTTGAATGTCTTGGCTTTCTGCATCACCCTGCAGGCTGGCATCAGTCATCAGATCGGGCCAGCCAAGTGATCGGGAGGTCCCTGACTCTACACACAGGGTTTTGTATATCCTGGTCCTGAGGTTCTGTTCAAGCCTAGACCCTAAATGTTTAGAGTTCTTGATGCTGTCTCCCGGAACATAATTCTGACTTTTTTTCAGGATTTATTTAAAAGTGGTAAAATTTTTAAACTAAGAGCATAGTACTTTATTTTTCACTCTCATTCACAGGAGGAACGGAAAAGGTTGAGGGAGAAATTGAGTGTTAGCAAAATTGGTCATACTGAAAGCACATTCTTACAAGTACAAAGTAACTGTTCTGCTGGAGATGCTTACTAACTGTTGGGACTTGGCTAGATATTGCTGTGGGGATGAGTTCTGTTTCTGTCAGATGGCATCCATTCTGTTATCCCCCAGGTAAAGTGGCAGCCAGACTGTATCTATTTTGGTGAAATCTAGAGTGAACCTTTTAAAGCACAAATCACTGCATGTTGCCCTGCTGCTTAAAAGCTTCCAATGACATCTTGCTCCTCTTAGCGTGCTTAATCTTGCCAGTGGTCTACAAGCCCATACTTAATTTGGCCTCTTTGTCTCCCTGTACTCACTCTGTTTTACCCTCGAAAATAAGCTGCAGCTACATGTTCTTCTTTGCCCCAAATCAAGCGCATTTCCATGGGCTTAGGCTCTTGCCGTTTTTCCATCTATCCATCCATCCATCCATCCATCCTCCCCTGCCCCCTGCCTGTTTGGGGATGTTCTCCTGCCAAATTCTTATCCTCATCATTCAGGTCTTAACCATCTCTCCCCATCATCTTTATCAGTTTTGCACAGTGCTCATGACTCAAATGCTCTTATGTTTTATGTTTTGTCTTCTTGCCTTTTTGCCTTCAGTAGAATGTATTGATTACCCTTGCTTGCCCAGTGCCTCTAGTGCAGTGCCTTGCAGATAATTGATGCACGTTTGGTATTTATTGCCAGGATTATAAGTTTACTCTTGATTCATGAGGGGAAAATGAAAGGAGCAACATTTCCTTTGCTCTATCGAGAATGTTGTGAGTCATGGTCCTGTATGTATGGGAGTAGAAGGGCCAGAATTTGCTTCTCATTTGCAGAAATCAGTAGAAACACATAGACTTGGAAATTTGGACTTTTGGATGTTAGAAGTGGATTTATAAAGGCCTTGGTAGAGTTGCTTGGCAAGCCCTTTATTTCTCATCCTTGTGTTTTAGAAGTGACAGCTTCCCTTTCTTTTTCTTGAGGGATGACTAAGAGGTGAGCTTGCAAGTTGCCCTTCCTTGTGGCTCTTCACTCAGCCCTAGTTAATGGCTCAGGTCAGTGAGCAGTGTAGGGACTGCCGTACTTAAATGTGTTCTGTTGAGTTAGTAGTGCTATCCATCAAAGTGCGCTCATGCTAGGAGTAGAGAAGATTTAAGCAATTATAAAAAAGAGTTGATAAAACCCATTGTATTTAACTGGAAGTGTTTTTCTCTCTCCCGTGATCTATTTTTCCAGATTTTGCACATTTCTTCTGCTCTGAACTTCCTCCATCTGTCCCTTCATTTTCATTTGTTTTATGGGAATCACTCCCTGGCTACTCTGTGCACCCACTTTGTGCGCAGCGGGTGAGTAAGAAATTTGATTTGCTGCTTGGTAATCTGGAGCTTACCTTTCTGCACATTAGCTTCCTTATCTGTCAAATGGGCATAATAAGGATTATATTGCGGTAGTGTGGTAATTGTGGTAATGATGATGAGATTGCCTCTGAAGAGTGCTGCGTACAGCTTTCAACACAAGGAAGTACCTAATGAATAGTAGCTATGGATATCTGTAGGCAAGTGTAATGAGTACTCATGGATTATATGCCCTATGACGTGCTTACATGCATTCATTCCTTAAGTATTTGTTGAATGCCTGCTATGTTCCAGCAGGTATTGGTCTGGTTCACGGAATATTGTAGAACAAAACAAACTCCCTGCTCTCTTGCAACCTGCATTCTGAATGCAGGCTGTGGTTCTAATGGCAATGGTGCTAGGATTTATGAAATAGGAATTGGTGAAATTGCATGAATGCTATTAGAATTTTTACATTTTCCCTACTAGATTTTAATTTTTTTGAGGGACAGGGACATCCAGCCCAATGTTTAGATTATAGTATATTCTCTGACTTCCTTTGGAAATTGAATGAGTAAGTTAGCAAAAGATCCACATGTTGTGCATGGGGGGGATCATGGGAAGTAGTCCAAAGATGGGAAAATCTCCTTACCTAATGCCTCTTCAACTTGGTGGTGGGAGTAGATATCCAGAGGAGTGAAGAATGACAGTACTGCTGGATTTTGGAAGGATAAAGCAAGATTTAAAAAAGGGATGAATTCATGCCTGATGCATGGCAGCATTTTTTTTTTTTTTTTTTTTTAAAGCCCAGTGGTTGTGGTAGGATGTATCCTGAAAGATACAGACTATTTTACATGGAAGTGCATTTGGTTTCTATTGGGTGGAACAAAGCCCTGAGGTGAAATCCAGCAACCAAGATGACTACAAAGTGAAAGAGAAAATGGAAGAAGTAAAACTAGCATTTGGAGCTGGTGAGTTAGAATTATTTATTCTGCACCATGGGGTCTCAGTAGTCCTTACTTCAGAGGGCTGTGAGAAAGCTGAAGGGAGCCTGGCTCAAGGAAGAGCTGAACAAAGACAGTAGTTAATGAAGTTCATCACCACTTTTCTCTTCTGCTTGCCCATTTCATTGTCCAAAAGTGTTAGTTTCCTAAATATAAAAGGTTTCTTAAAAATGGATTCTAACAGCTACCGCCCAATGATGGCCTTAAATGGGGGTCTACACTCCTGTGTGAGAATCAATGAAGTTCCAGGTGTATGAGAGTAGGTAAGCTGTGGCTGTGTGGGAGGGAGCCAGGCTGGCTGGGGTGCTTGGATTGTATGGCCTCAGAAGCTATGAGCTGGGGGTGGGTGACCATGTTTTGTCTCCACAGCTCTGTTTTCTGTTCCTGAACTGCTCAGAGTGCCAGGAGCTGAGAGGGCTCATCTGGATCGCCTCTTTGCTAGGCCTCATTGCTGCTGTGCAGCTCTCAGAATTCAGCTGCAGCGCTCCAGGCATCAGTCAGTGGTCCTGAGCTGGATGCTAAGGCTGCAGCAGTCTCTGGGAGCACCAGCACTGCAGACATTCTGCCTAGACCAAAGCCAGGGAGCATCTTTCCTTGAAGGTTTCTTTGAACCACTTCCCTGCCCTTCAGTAGGCCTTCCTGAGAGCCGGAACCAAATCGATAGCCCATAGAGAAAAGCCAACATGAAGTTCAAATTAGTCCTCATACCTCTCCATTTCTTTCCTACAACTTCCCTGACAGTTATTTGGAATTGTCAAGAAAAGCAGGCCCTGCTGAAGGCTTCTTGAGAGTATAACAGGACCACCCAAACCC